ATCCGTTTTTATATGCCACTTTCACTTTATTTATAAGGAATTTAGTTTGACATCGATAAAATGGCATTGCACTACAGGACTATAGTGAAGAAATCAATCAACCTGAACATGCTTTGGCTTAAAATAAAACAGGCTCTCCCTTATGTTTAAGAAATTAGGACTAGTGGTCGATTAATCCTTCTTAAACTATAACAGGCACTATTCTTTATGGCATGGACTTATCTTCTAGCAGGGACTTTCTCTAGACCCCTTATTTGTCTGCTCATGTGGGAGTTGTAGGAAGCCCCAGGAAAACAAATGGTGCTCATGTAGAAAAACCCCATCAAGCCCACAGGAATCCTCTATCGCACATTTTCTATGCTGGTTGATTGAACTAAGGAGGGCTTTAAAACTGACTATATATGGTAGACGCACACCCACACATGTCTTGGGTATTTACAACTTTTTATGGCCTCTATTTGAAGACTGGATGAACAAAGCTGATAGGATTACGTCCTGCAAAAGATAATTGATTTTCTTAACTTTAAAGGAATCATAAAGCTCTCTCATAAAGCAGACCATTAGCTGTCTATTAGTGGGCTCTACAGTGCCTCTACAGCCAATTTACATATTAATGTGTTTGCTCTCGCTTCAAGATCCAAACAGAAAACAGACTCACACACATCTGCCCACATATTTTCACAGAAAGGACATCCTCTGCATCATCTGGTGTAACTCAAGAAACAGTAAAATATCAATTGCTGACTCATTTTGACGAAGATGCGGGGGAGTTGTGTATTGTTTATCACGCATAGCTGGGCCATAATGTTCATTGCTAACTCTCCTGACCTGGATAGAAAAATGGAACTAAATTCTACATAGCCATCAAACATTAAGCTCAACTGTCCAGTTAATGGGGATGCTTCCACTTCTTTTTCAAAGAGGATTTAACAGTCTGCTCGTCTATGTTCACCGCCCTGTCTGTTGAAGCCTTTAAATTCTTAAACGTGTAGTTGAACAAGTTACTTTTTGTCCAGTTGCTTATCAAACCATTCAAGAACACATTTGACAGATGGCAATGTGATTGTATCACTTACACTGAGCATTTCAAATGGCATTGAAAAAATCTTCTCATTGATGGATGGAAGTTATTTCTTTTTGAATGTTGATACTTTGATATATATTTTTTGGTGTTAAATCAATTGATAGTATAATACATTTTTCCTCCCTCCCTTCTCTCTTTCTTCCTTTCTTTCCATTCACAGAGGATGAGCTGTAGCTATCTGCTCTGCACCATCTTACTCTTCGTGGCGGTGTTGCTAGCGGTCACTGTTACTGGCACCATCCTTTTTATGAATCACTACCAGGCCCCACCCATGTCCGACGGCCTGCCGCATATCTCTACCAATCAGGATGAGGCAAACGCCCTGGTGACGGTCGAGAGAGGGGACGGCTCTCGCATCAACATCTTCATTGATCCCAACTGCCCCGACTACAACAGTAACTTTCTGCGTCTGGAGGGGGTTCAGACCTCACTGCTCCATTCACTGACTGACCATGACTCAGACCTTAAGTCGGTGAAAGGCCAGGACCGTGCGCTGCTGGTCAACCTGGCAGAGGAGGTGGCCAAACTGTCGGCCCATGCGGGACAACTGAAAATGGACTATGAATCTCTGCGTAGGGGGCAAGGCAACCTGGGGCAGGACCTCAACACACTACAAGCAGAACAGGGACGCCTCATACAGGTGAGAAACGCCATAAATCACGTTAGTTGCAAAGCATGTAGGCTCATAATGGTCAGCAAGGTTAAGTATTGCACATGAAACATGGCCGTGTGCAATGGCCATGTTCTGTGGCTCTGTTCTCTTACCAGAGTTCGAATCAAATCGTGTCCACATTTTTGTTTAGTCTTTTCAACTTTCTCTTTTCAGAAAAAACTGGAGTAGCTTTACAATGTTGTGATGATGCTTGAAAGAGCTCTTGAAATAGTGTCATTACGAAATTAGAACATTGCTTCAACTGTGCTTAAGAAACCTGCTCCTTTTGACTCAATTATTGTTTATTTTAAGGTTATTTATACTAATGCATCAGGAGCAGCAACTGAAGCTTTTTATTCAGGGTCAAATGATTAGGGATTGGGATTAAACAAAATATCATTTCACACAAATGTATATTCTACTATAGAATTTTTTTCTTCTTTTTATCCCAGTTGATCAAAACAGAGAAAACCAAGTGAAGTAAAGTCCCTGTGCAGCACTTACTATTCACATCATGAGTTTAAGTCCTATACAGAGGTGCTTAAGAGTCAAACCGTGCCATCGATATACATTGATTGTGAAGCCACCTTAAAAAAGGTGACAGCTCATTAGACTTGAGTTGTTGCTGTTAGTTTGGTTTAGTCCCTTTCTTTTCCTGACTGAAAAATCAAAACATCATCATTATCACTCCCTCAGTCAATGCCAACTGAGACCAGACATTTTCTCTGCACTCTGTAAAAGGAAAGTAAAGCCTAAATTAACATGTAAATGTGGCTCATGTTTATATTGAGTATAACTTAATTCTGTGTTTGAAGAAGTCACAAGGGAGGAAATGCCCACGATGACTCCACAAACACCACAGATTGCACATTATATCAGTAACATAATCGTTCCAAACTCATATGAGTTAGACTCCACACTTGAAAACATAATTAGACATAATTTGATTGTCATTGTCCACACTGATATGTTGGTGATACATTTTCTAACTGTGTGGAATAGCTTAACACTACATGGCCTTTTAATTTAGACATTCTAGGCTCAGTCTCTCTGTTTATGCTTCAAACAGAGTTCATTCCTGTTAACCAAACATCTGAAACAACTGAATTAATTCTTGTGTCAGCCCTTTTTTTTTCAAACCCAGACCATTACAGCTTTGTTGTATACACTGATCTTTACAGAATCACTCAAAAACAAGGTGGCTGTGTCTGATCTAGCTCTGGCGGGTATAAAACCATGTGTGCTGCTGGCTGCACAATCGAAATAGCAAGTGGCCCACTTCCTTTGTTCCTGTTCATGCGAGGTGTACTGCAGGTTGCATGGAGCAGTGGGCAGGGTAAGTGGAGGTGGTACCAGCAGCTTAGTTACTCCAAGTGATTGATTTCCTCTGTAGAGAAAAGGCTCATGGTGCACACATCCACTGTTTCTTCTCGCCACCATGATGTGCACATGTGATCTATGGGCCACCTGTTGACCAAACCCCTGAAGTATAGGATGACACAGAGCTGAGCGTGCTAAAATTAGCAAATGCTTTGTGTGTACGGCAATCCCCCTCACAAAAAGAAGTAGAAGAAGAAGAAAAAAAAGCGGTTGAACCCTTCTGCACATCGGGTGAAATGGAGGAGAATTTGATTACAGCAGATTTAGGCACGATCTGTTTTGATAATTCAAAATCTCCCATCCACTTTTCACTCCTGTTGCTTGCAGCCTAAAAGAGAAGAGTGCTCCAAAACCCACATATTTATATTTGAAAATCACCCTTATGGGAATGACTGCCTACAGCTGATTGTCGGGTTTCTTGATAATAGATCAAATGAAGCCCACTGTTCTTAGACATAGCAGCATCTGATGTGTTTGTTCAAATTTCATTAATGAATTCAAAATTGAAAATGTGCCCCAGGACCCGTAATTTGAATTGGTGTAATTTTCTCCGTAATCATCAAACATCTAAATATGTGGTCACATTTAAATAGGTTGAAATAATTTTTGCTGGTGAATAATATTTTCTTAATTTAAAATGGCAATTGTTTCATTACTATGGTCTGATTTGCCATTGTGTTTTCCTCCATCTTTGCTTTAAATCCCTGTGAAAACAATCAGCAGCTAGTTAACTCTCATCGACTTGGCAGAAAGTATTCTGAATAAAACAATAGATAAAAAATTACTCAACCAGGGAACAAACAAAAAAAAGAAACAAAAAACAAAGCAAGAACCTTAAAAAGAGCAAATAAAATAACTAAGATGTAAATCAATCAGACGAAAGATTTGAATATTGAGAAAGAAAAGACAACTGATCATGAATCCACAAGCATTTTTGGATGCTTGTTGGAGTACAAAGTATGACAAAAAAAGAAAAAAAAGACTGTAAAGAGGCAAAGGCCGCAAGGAAGAGCATGACTGACTGATTTCCTTGAACTAGAGGTCACAGTTTAAACAGAATTATTTGCATGTGGAATATTAATATTTGAGACAAGTGACACCCACGGCTTCAGCTCAGGATGAAGCTGAAAAAGCTTATTGCCTTAAGACTTAAGACTTAAGTCTTTTGTAAAATTGAGAGAGAAAAATTGTTAGAGTTGATGAGTTTTACCCAGTGATAAAATATAAGCAACATTAAAATCTCAGGAAAAGCTGTGTAATCATAAAAGTCAAACAAAGAATGGACACTTTAATGAGCAACTTCAAAGATGATAAAAAATATTATAGGCATTTCAGGGTCCAAGCTATTTTTTCTTACTTACTGTATTTCTTTGTCTTTAAATCATTTAAATAGATATACATTTCTTTGACTCAAAGATAGAAACATCAGAACAAAATTTTGTGCTTTATCAAATTATGCAATTATGCATATGATAGTTAAAGATTTCCTCTGAAGAAAATATGCATGTGAGTGAGTTATTTTTTTCTCCAGTCTGAGAATCAAATGCCAGGCCTTAACTCTATGTAACTAATTATGATTTAATTGCACAGATAAAGCCTCCTCACTCTTCCTCTACATTAAGTTACACATCATATTCAACCGTCTGCAAAGATCAGGACCGCTCTGTGTGAGGTGAATCTGATTTGCAATGAAAACAGTCTCATTACGTATGAAGGTTATGTCCGTCAACGAGGGTAATCTTTTATTCATCGTTTCTTTGCTTTTGAGGCCTGGACGTCCAGGATGTCTGACTGTTTAATCAAATTAATAGAGTGAGCGAGACAGGGGTTGACCTAACATTTGCGCACCACTCTAATACAGAAATAACTTATTGATAGTTGTCTTTAGCACAGATGAATTGCTGGTACTTGTCATGCCGTTTCATCTATGGGAAATGTGGAAGTTCCATGTTGTCTTGACCCAAAATAACTCAACAAGGAATGTAATAATGTCCACTGTTTTAATATACCCGTTATCACTGCTGTATCATAGTAGGGGGGGGGGTCCTGGTTTGGTCAGATCTTTCATCAGGGACTTTGTATGCTCCCATTTTGCATGTTTGGAACCGTTTCGTGTTCCCTCCTTGTGTCCTGGATATTCGTTTACAGCACTCAGTTATTCTAATTTGGCAGTGTTGTAAGTGATGGACTAACAACTCTTCCAGGGTTTATCTACCGCCACATGTCACTGGGATAAGCTCCAGCTCTCTGCCATCATGAACACCAAATTGTGAGTGTAGAGAGCGTCTAACTGGTTGGGATGCTGTCCACATTTTTGGTTTGATTATAATACAAAAGTCAGTTGTAAGCCAGAGTAGGGATCATTTTCCATATGGATTCTGTTTTTCCAAAGAATGTTTTTTTAGGTAAGATGAGTAGACAGACTCTCAGGAGCACACTAACCCCTTTCTGTAAGAGCTGTTAATGAAAATGTGTTTATTTTTGTTAAATTATGTCATTGCTCATAACCAAAATGAATGTTCAGTATGATTCAGTAAGCTATATTTTTCTTGGACAATAATTTGTATAATTTTACAAACCACTGCATAGTAACTACACATAGCTGCACACTTCAGCCATAGTTTGAACACAGTTGGGACAATACCAAGATATCTTCAGATGAATTCCCACATTTGAAATGTACGTCACTACATAAATTCAGAACCCATCTGCTCGGGGGTTCCAGATGACATTTGTGTGCAGTAGATTGATCAGTTACTGTCCTGGCTCTATCATGGTCAAAATGGAAATGTGCCTTTATCATACTTTCTGCACTTATGAGACTTTTAGTCAGGGCAGACCAAGGACATTTCACCAGTCCATCAAAGAAGAACAATGTCATATACTATAAATAACAACACAGGATTCATTTTCAAGTCATTTTGGAGCACAGTGAAAGCAAAGTCAGCCCAAATCATTTTTGCTGCTGTGGACAGAATCTCTATTTGTTTTGAGAGATATTTCAGTGAGATGTCTACTTTGTGTGTCAAACATGTGTTTGCTACTTTTTTTTTATCAGCATTTGATTTACCAAGTGGTACTAAGTTCAAGACTTGATCTGTATGTGTTAAATTTGTTGCATATTTGACGGCATCTGTGTTAAGCCTGTCAGATCCACCACCTTCTGTTCTTCGACTTTTAATTCTGATTAAATAAATACAATACCGTGTAATGCATTTGCAAATCAAGTTATGGCACAAAATAAATGAAAAAATTATTTACACACTTTAGCAACCGAAGGACCTCATTCTGAATGCAAGAGTAGATTACTATCATCTTTGATCTAGCTCTTTTAATGCCCCTGCTACAGATGTGCAAAGCAGCACCTAAATTGGCCTTCATTTAAACCTCAGCACAAAAACAGGGCTCATAATGTTAAGTGCTGAGGTGTAACTGATTTTGTAAGCCAGCGCAAAGGCTGGCTAATGAGATCTAATTAAATCATGATCCTAATTGAAGTGTCTGTCAAGGCTAGGCATTAAGGCTGCAGACAACCCTCTGCTGCCAAAACAGATGCAGAAGAAGAAAGTCAATAGCAGCTAGCGCATGGGGCCTGAACACAAATGTGACGTGTTTGTGTCTGTATGTGGGTTTACCTTGCAGCTCCAGTGTATTATCATTTCAACGTTACTTTCTGTGCCTTTGTGGTGCGTTGCATAAATATTGAGGCCAGGAAATAGCCACTGGGGTTTTTGTCTAATGTAGTTTTAACACCTGAATTAAGCTGTACAGACACAGTTTCTTACAGGACCCTGGTCCCCTTTATAGTATCTATGACTTTCAACATTGCAGGTTTTTGTGTCAGGGCGTATTTGCATCTTAATCTGATTATAGGGGAGGATCGAATGAGAACTGTGTGCAGGTGTCAATTGAGAAATTTTTGAAAAAATACATATTTGTCATATCTCCAAATACAAAGTGTGTGTGCATGTGGAGAACAGCTGGTTGTGCCTACATCTGGCCAACTAGGACAAAAATGTGAAAACGACCTCTCTATAATGAACAGCACATAAAGAGCTGCAGGAAGGGAGTGACCATGGCGGGGCAGAGAGGTTACCCTGCTCTTTGCTAGTCCTAGCACACACATTCATCAACAGCCTTCCCACAGGGCTCTTTGTGTTTCACTACATTCACCAGAGTGCTTTATGGAATGGGGAACCATGTGTCTTTGCTTCTAGAAACAGTGAATGCACAAATGTGCATCTAAAAGTCCCAAAAGTGTGATATTCTGCCAGCTCTTGTGTTCATTGTTTTAGTCCATTACTTACAAATTTGGCATGGTTTATATAAATGCTATTTATCAGATAAATCAACCTTGGAGCCAGTTTTGGCTTTCATTTTAGGCACAAATATGTGTTGCTCTTTTTTTTCTTTTTTTCTTTTTCACACAATATTAATGTTCTTTTTTATCCTTGATATTTCAGTTGGTTGTTGTAAAGCATTACAAATTAAAAAAACAAAAAAACAAAACAGATGTGAACACAAAAACAATCATAGTCTTGTAATTCACTGCATATATTCCAAATATTGGAAACTGTCTGATGTACACTAAATTTACGTAGCAGGATAAGTTCTCGAGCCCTCACAAGAGTCAAATGTTGCTTTAATGCCATTTGAATAATAAAAACGGGTTTCACAACTCTGTTATTGTGTATGCCTGACATCTTATGTGCATAATGCAGAGAATTAAATAGAAAACGCTGACGTCTCGAATATACTAAAAGTACTGACCTGCTTTGGAAAAATGGTATGAAGTGCTGCAAATGGAACTTGGACTTATTTGATCATTAATGTGTGTGAACTGATGTTCTTCTGTCCCAATTTGTGTGTCTTTCAGCTTCTGTCAGACAGCCAGATCAACATGGTGAAAGTAGTGAACTCAGTTAGTGATGCTCTTAACGCCATGCAGAAGGAGAACGTGGGTCTGAAGGCACGAGTCAAGGCTGACTTACAAAGGGCACCGGTCCGTGGGGCTCGCTTGAAGGGCTGCTCCAATGGTAAGATGCATTTGATGGAGTTTGTCTTTAGGCCTGAATTCTTCTTGTGTAGATTTATCTGATATTCTATTGTCCCTCTGTCATTGTTGATGTAATTCATGCATCGCACAGTACTAATAAGTTGAACCTTTGCCTATTTTTTATTCTCCTGTATGTCTTGATCCCTTCTTTATCATCCCTGCTCTACTGTTCTGTGGATTTATATTCTTGTGTGATCCATTTGTCATCCATCTCATCTTGTATTCATCCAATACCGACTCTACAGGCAATATTGGTATGTTTCCGTGGGCTACAAGTCATTCACATTATACAGTGGCCTTGGGAATATTTCACTATACATAAGAGATGACTAACCCATCCACTGGACTGGCAGTGAAGAACAGGCATAATCCCAATGGAGTACTTTTGACCATGCATAGTATACCCAGTAGCACTCCCCTCCAAGATTTACCTTCATGGGTGGCCAGTGAGTGCAGGACAAAGGCCCCAGCCTGGAGATTACAGCAGGCCCTATTGGTAGTGACAGTTTTTATGTTAAAGACACACCTAAAGAAAGAAGTAAATGTCTCATGAATGGATTTTTGGTGTTGCATATATGAATAAAGGTATTACAAAGCTCAGAAATTTGTAGCAGCCTCACACCAACTAATTCAAAATTGAGATAATTGTTTCCTTATTGCATTTCTTATAGGTGCTCTTTATTGTGTTGAATCACATCTAGAATCTATCTTTACTTCTTTGAGGGAAAACAAGAAATGATCTAATCATAGCTTAATATATTCCTTAAAATCGATTTGGTGAAATCTGAAATGCGCAATACATCATAGTTTTGCTTACATTATGGTCAAAATCATTCAGTTCAAGTAAGTGAGCATTTTACAAGATCTCATGATTAATAAATAGATACAGAATATAAGTATAAAATACAAATAGAATCCTGAAAGATAGCTTTTTTTAAGAACAGCAACACATTTCTTTCAGATGGTGGCTAACTCCGTCCATTTTGCTGAGAAAGTGCACCACTGGGACATTAATTAGTTCCAGACAGTGCTTGCCTCATGAACCCTACTGAGAATTATTTTCCCTTTATCAGATTTTCTGAAGCAATCAGTAAACACTTTCTTGAAACAAAGCACAATTTCAGTTGGCAATAAATTATAAACCAACTGGGGCGAAAAGTATTCTTCAGATCTTGCCAGAATTGTTATTTTTATTATGTAATAATTTCTTCAATCTCACTTTTAATTTGTTGTCTCATGACTCCGTTAATGGTTACAGCAACAGAGACAAAGATAATTTTACTCTTTAGTGCAAATTAAATCATTCATCAATTTATTAACTGCACAATTGTATTCACTGAATTTGAAGTTGCATCACTAATCTGAAAAAGCTCCCACTGCAGACATGCATTTTACATCCCATCTTGCTTGTATTTTAACATAGTAACACCTAATTATGCAATATTGTGAAAAAAGCCTCCAGGGCAAGGTTGTTGTAATGACAAAAATAGATTTTGTTTTGGTGGCTGCAGCATGTTGGGTTAGGTTAGACTGTTAGGATGCTCTCGTATATATTATTGCTAAAAAAACAATTTCAGTCAGATGTTCTCCAGGGTGCTGACAGGATTAAGGATACATCATATCAGAATTACCAATCTCTGTTCAAATTGGAAGCAAAAGTAACCAACTCTAGCATTGAGTGGTTTGTGTAAGCTACTCCACAATAAACAATGTGTAATATGTAAACAGCAGAGCAAGATAAACATTTTGGACTCACATTCAAAGGATTCATATTCATAAAGTGTTCAAAACAGCAGTAGTTTTATGTCTTCTAACCTCAAAAGAGAAAACACCTCCCTTGAAGTGCCATCGTAAAGTTGTTGGCTTTAATTCGCAAATGCAATACCAGCTTAAAGCAAATGTTTGTCTTATTGTAACAGTATTGTTTGGATCAGTAGAAGCTTACAGATGATTGGATATTTTTTTGAGAGTTGTGAAACATTAGACTATTATAAACCATTTGCAATTAGAATAGAGCTCTGATCTCAGGGAACCTTCCTCTGTTACTTGATTTATTATTTATCGGCACTTGAAATTCTGGCCCGTTTCATCTAAGCAGCCATGCAGTGCTTGGTAGAGGCCTGTTTTAGCCATTTATTTCTGAAAGAAACTTAAATGTGAGGAAATAACTGTTGGAGACCCAAAAGGTCTATGGCTCAAGGGGTTCAGCACCATGGACAGAGCATCATAGACTCAAAGCTTAGCTTGTTGCAGTCCAACCTGTCATAAAACTAGAAAAGGGGAAATAAACCTTTGAATGCATACATTGTAAAAACAGCAATTGTATGTAAGTGTCTAGTCTCCATCCGTAGTTGGATTTACTTCTCTAAGAATTTCATTGTGGCCAAGCAAGTTGTTTCATGTAAGCCAAACCCAGAGGAGCTGGAAGATTTAAGGAAAGATATGTGTTTTTCTCGTTTTCCTACGATTTAAGAATTTCTGTGATTTATAAGGATTACAAAGCAGCACCTTATAATCAATTAATGTATATAGTAGGTCTATATGGAGCTGTGTACCCATTGGATTTACTATACTGTGAATCTCATCTGACTACATTAATAATTTCATTTACTCACTGTCCATACTGCTTATTCCTATTAGGGTCGTCGGGGGCCGAAGCTTTTACTTGAATTTGTGACCAATAAAAGGAGAAAAAAATGCACATAGAATGTGAAAACAAAGAAAAACCGTAAAGAAGGGAAGGAATATACAGCTATAAGGCTGTTTTATGGATTTATATTCCAGCAAATCTGAAACTGTGGCCACAAAGCTCAGTAAAAGCCAGTCTGATTCCAAAGACTGCCACTGATTTTGGACCTGGCTTGTCTACATATAACCTGACCTGACCCATACTTTGGTAGAGACAGCTCAGGCTATTTTTCAGCACACCAAAAGATAGTGTAAAAAATGTTTAAGAAACGGGTAGGAAAAAATCAATTACAAATTTTCTTTTTGTTGTTGTCTTTTTCCACTATTTAAATTGGGTCTTTTAGTTAGCAGATGCTTCTGTTTATTGTAGACTTCAGGCTCTTCTCTGTCATTTGATCTATCGTCGCTTTTGTGGGGAAAGAGGGTCGCACATGTGACTGGTCATTACCGAAGCTTGCCCTGACTCCATCTGCTGATTCTGTGATCCTCTTACTAATAATGTATTCAACCTCATTTCCAACTTGCACGTGGCTGCACCTGCGGTCACCGTAATTGCAAAAATAGATCACGGGAGTAAACCAGTACATTTTGAATTCATTAAAGTTAATGTACATGTGGTTGTAGAAAATCTGTGTTTCATGTGAAGTGCACTATATTCTTAAAATGCAGAGCGCTGAAATGCTTCTTTCAAGACTTAAACAGTCGGTGGCAAAAAAATGTGATTTTGTGCTGAAGAAGCTTGACGTATAATAATGGTTAACTTAACAATGTAACTGGGAAAACCTTCAGAAGAAGTTCTCTTTTATTCCATTTATACAAAATTAACAAATATATTCTTGTTTGCTTCTTGCATATCCCTCATTAAACATATAATAGAGCACTTAATTTTAAATTCATGGCTGCTCTGATATACCGAGGAATGAGGTACTTTCTTGAGGTCTATTGAAAAACCTATGAATGTCTTTCACTGCCTTCCTAGTGTCTCTGAATTCATCATTTTTTTTCAGTTCCTGAAAGAAAATATTTTATTTTAAAAGTTATATGAATTCAAACCTGACAGCACCAAAGCCCATCTAAGCTTCAACCACAGCAGGGTTTCTCTGTTGAATGAAACCACCATAGGAGTCCCACGTTTTAGCGTGTGGACTGCTTCACATTGCTTTGTTGTAGCGCGGTTACAATCCAAAGTTCAATCTTTTTGTCATCAGTAAGCACACAGTTGCAGGCAGACTGAAAAAAAGTTTTCTGTTGCTATTTCTGCCATATATATGATTTGCTTTTAGGAGTTCTGAATTGACCAAAAAAAGTAAGAGAAAGAAAAAATTATGCAGGACCTATTTCATGGTTAAACTAGGGATCCTTTGATTTTGTGGCCATTAATGGTGCACATCTACAGCTGAGAATAATCATCAGCAAATGCACAAAAAGTGAAAGGTTTCACTGCTTTGTTGTGTCACTTTAAAAGCTACCAGGCTGAGCTATTTTCGGAGCCTTTTAGCTTTTTCTTGTATAAAATAGGTTTCATTAGGACCTAGAAAAGGTCGAAGAAATGAGTTTTCAAATCATTTGTTGACATATGAAAAGCGAAGCCATTGTTGGCCCCATGCTTTATCTGTTGGGAGGCTTTAAAATATAAAAAGACTAAAGCATATATAACATCAATGAGAGACCATTGGAAACATAACAGCTGTGTAGTAAAGAAAATAATACTGATACTGAAATGGTGTAAAAAGCATGTGCAAAATTCTGGACTTTCTCCAAAAAATGATCCCCTTTCACTTAATTTTGATCACATAAGAAGCAAATGTAGACATGCACAAAAAGGAATTGCATGTCTAAGCACTGTAAACTGTTACATTTTACTGAACCGTAAAGGAGAAACAAACTAAGACAGATCTTACATCTCAAGCGGCACCTTGTGTAGTACAAGGGCAGTTAATTGTCTGGACACGCTGCACCTGTGAACATGTGAATAAGGGACCTTGTTTTCACAGCTCAGCATGCTCACTGTTTGAACCCCTCACATTTTAGCCCTATTTCCATATCCTCAGCTTGTTTACACAAAATGTTAACTCCTGACCTCCTATGCTGAGTTTAAGAATTTAAGGTGGTGTACATTTCCATACAGATCTTTTAAAAATCCACCTCCATCTTTCTGTGAATGCCAATGAGACATACAGTCTGTGTGTGTGTGTGTGTGAAGCAGGCAAAGCAAGTGGACCTTCATTATCACTCCGATAAATAAAGAGGGTCCTTGATGGAATATTTTCTCTGCTGTGAGATTAAAATGATAAAGTCTTTGTTGTACAAATCTTAAATAATGAAATTTTCAGTTCTCTCAGCTGAATGGAGACAGTTTCACTCTCTGTGATGAGAAGGAAAATTGCGAGCTACCGCCATTTTTACGTGATGATGATGTAAGGTTGGAACTATTAGCTGAAGCTTACATTTACAAACAGAAACGCGTCATGGTTGGCAAACATTTTGTGTTGGAAAATAATAAAAATTCTTGTATGGCCTTTTTAAGAACCCTCCAAGCTGTTTTAAATTCAAAGGTTTGACCCTGTGAAGGCTGCATGCATAATCTATAACACTGTCCTCATCACAGAGTTCCTTTCTTGCTTCCTGGGGAATAGACTTAGTATCCCTTGGGTGAGATGAGTTTTTTTAGCCACAGACAAGGGTGCCACTGTTCTACTCTCCTCTTGCGTACAAGCTCTCACTGTCACTGTCTCACCTCTTTTACTATGTCTTCTTAATTTCTCATTCACATTGTCAATGTCTTCTTTTTAGGGAATATGCCACTCATATTTATTCAATTGTAGCATTTTCAGTCATTGAGAAATCCCCTCATATCCACATCATCATTACCTTTTTGTCTTTCTTCTCCAAACTAATTGTCTAGCTTCTTATTTCTCTTTAAATACATAATTATTTGTAACAATAGAGAAAACCGAAACAGATGTATTGGTGTGCATCACTGGCCTTGGACAGTAAACAAAGGCCGGAGTTTTTTTTTTTTTACCCCCTTGAAATCCATATCAGATCTGACTTATTTAATGTATTCTACTTCTATCTCTCTGAAGGCTCACGCCCTCGAGACTGCAGCGATCTGTATGCCAGTGGTCAAAGAGAGGATGGCATCTACTCTGTGTTTCCTGTTCACCATCCAACAGGCTTCCAGGTCTACTGTGACATGACCACTGATGGAGGAGGCTGGACGGTGAGTCAGTGCAAAGCGCAGACATGTATTACTGTGGACAAACACAAAGCTTTTAAGCTTTCTGTGATTCTCCCCAAAGTAGAAACACTCTGTCAAATGCTACATTTATTCCAGGACTATAATCAAGATAAAGACCGGGAAATGGTAGAGAGGACTATTCACTCTCTCTACTAATATGAATACCCTTTTTATGTAGTAAAAATCCCCACAAAGCGATTCACCAAACATGAATCTACTGGTAACATTGCTTCCATTTAAGTCAGATTCATCTCATTTATAGAATTACTTACAAAAATTTCATTGCTTCTGAATTAGTTTTATCAATTAAAAGTGTTAAGCAAAGGTTCCATCTAGCTCCACTTGAACAATGTCAACATACAGAGTGCTGAACGAAAAATTAAAAATAAGAAGCAGGCCGAAAAAAGTAATTGAGCAAGACGTGTGGAACAATGCTTTTTTCACTAAGCTGGCAGAGAAAATGGTGCCTACATATAAAACACATGGATTTAAAACTCGCTGTAATGTCAGTTGTATTCTCGTGCTGAAATTATAAGTATAGCTTAGAAGCAACATTATGCACAGCCAAGTAAATAAAGATTTTGAATATAAATTCATATGTCATTGCACCTTAAACTATAAATAAGAAACTGTTTCCAATGTAACTAAAAAAGATGTCTCACCTGCTTGTTTTTTTGGTTTCGTTATTCTCGCCTCAGTGTTTGTGAGGTTATGTTTTTGAAAAGTTAAGTATGACTAAAATGAAGACATTCAAATGTTTCTCTGAGCATGTTTTCTTTTTTTTTTTCTTCCCTCAAAAACCATCTGCGAGTTGTCTGGACTTACTTAAGCAAACATAACCATTTAAGTGGGGCTAAACACTGGAAGCAGTCTGTCTTTTGGGAGAGAAAATGAAGTGAACAAATAGTGACACATGGCTGTCTGAAGTTATATTTGGAAGGCTAGGTTAATTCATATGTATGTTTCCCTGGTCAGGGCCTACTTTTGTCTTTGTTTGTCATGCAGCGTGCTGCTACTCTCCTCAAAGAAGTTAGACCTGTTCTTACAACCATTGCCTGAAATTTCAATCGCCTAATTCCTTTTTTTTATATGGATTGTGATGCAGTTTAACAAAAGCATACAGAATGTGACTTGGTATCTGCAGACAACTTTTTCAGCAAGTCACTTAAAATATATTTGTATAAAGCAAAATGATGCAAGCAGCCAGAAACATGTCCCGTGCACTTTAAATGAATGAATATATTTATCGCATTTAGGCACACATTTTCTGAGTGCGATGCTTTCTTGTCTTGTTAACAGCATAGCGATGAGAAGTTTTGTGAAAACGTTGCGAAGGTGTTAAGTCTCAATTTTTACACTTTGAAAAACAGAAAGCAAAACTGCCTGACTTCAAACTATTAGACTTAAAAAACACTGAAAATGAGAAGATTTATATATTCTATAATCTATCAAGCATAACAGTGGTGGGCTTTGTGGTTATGTATGCATCTGTGTGTGAGTATACGGTGTGTGAGTGTACTTGTAAATCAGTCTCGAACCGTGTGAGATAGGCAAGGTCATACCCTCATATCATCAAATAAAGTAGGACTGTCAGAGTGACAGAGTGCTTAGCACCGCATGATAGAATACAGCTACGTTCAGGCCTGTCAGTTAGTAGGTGTATCGGTCTTTGTATCCATCTACACGTATGAATTTTCGGAGCAACGATGGAAATAGTTTGTGAGAGCCACTGTGATTTCACGCCTGTTTCCTCCCGGTTTTAACGGCCGCACCGGCGTTAAGTGTGCAGCGTTTGAATGGTGTTCAGTAAAGGGATTTACATGGCAGCTTAGATTCAGGTGATAACATAGCACTTCCTGATCCCTGCTAGTGTGTTGAGCTGCTTGTGATAATCTTTGAGCCTCATTAAGAGATCAGCGTTGTGAAGTCCAACACGAGCAGGTAGCAAGATTCTCGGCGAGATGAGTGGCTCACTGTCTGCTGAGTTTAAATAAGGAATGAGCCATATGCTGCCACCTCATTAGCATAGCTTGACATACTGTTGCAGACTGCCGAAGACATACTGAGAAATGAGCAGGTTACTTGGAAAGGGGAGTTAACAGAGAAGGGAGGAGTCGAACGAGACAGAGAGGGGCTGATAAAAATAAAAAAAAATGTCTGAATCTGAAAAAGAGTGGGAGTCAGACAAGGACATAAAAAAAACACAATGGCGGAGCACCGATGTACCTTTTCCCACTCTCGGAAATGGCGTACTTTGGACATAGCCTTTAATGGAATCTTTCTCATTCGCTCCACTCGCAGTAAAAAGGTGGCCCTCAGGGAACCTTTGGGGTAATGGAGCCACCTTAAGTGGGTCTGGAATTAGATTTCAATCAGCACAATTATAGTATTGATCAATTATGACCTTTTGAAATGTTTTTTGTGTGTGTGTGTGTGTGTGTGTGTGTGTGTGTCATGTACCTGCTTTAGCCAGCTCTTGCCTTTACTGAAACACATCTACATCAGTGGAGACCGCCATTCAAATCTGAACACAGGTCATACTTTTACTTTAGCTCACAGTTTTGCTTGGATCTTAGGAAAATGTCTTTAAATAAACTGAAATTCTTCTGCCATCAAACGGCACAATGATCAAATAAGATGTTTTCCATAAGGCCGTACATATCCCAGAATCCAACAGTACAGATTAAGTGCAACCACCCACAGATGCTACAGTTTCACCTTCACCACAGAGAAAGAGTAACCTTTAAATTTATCTCAGTTTTGCATAAAACTACATACTCAATCATAATGTCTTGAGGGTAGCTTTATTCAACAAAACAACCTATATTATAAATTACTATCGCTAGATTCCTTCAGTGTTGCATCATAATTGTTTCCTATTGTTTTGTTTTTTATTATTTTTCTTTTTCCCAGGTGGTTTAAGTAGTACAGCAGAACTTCCTTTGCCAGGGATCGAAAAAGATGACTCACTATACTTATCTGGTTGATTTGGAAATAACAAAATGAAGAAGCAGGAAATAGGAAGAAAAATTCATTTTTTTTATTTCAAAGCAGTTGCAAGGTGAAGGAGAGAGGGGGAGATATCCACAATGAGGCTAGCGTGCCTCGCCTCCTGAATGCATGAATACAATATGGGAAATACAGAAAAGGAAGTTCCTGCACAATGTACAATGTCTCACAGACATCATAAAGATGTCATTGCCCTGTTAATAATAAAAATATAACAAAAAGCTAAACTCTTTCTGGTGGATCCATGTGCTAGTCCTGTGCTTTTGGGAGCTTCCTATAATATCTGCAGTAAATAGCTAAATGTAGTCAAAAGTGGGCTTTAGATTGAACTTCCAAATCACTAGCTGTGTGTGTGTCCCTGCTATGCAGCCGTTTCTGTCGCTTCATATTGCTAACATCACTGCACAGATGTTTTCTTTTGCCACTTGACAATGTGCTTAGAGAGTCAGGATTCTGTTAGAGCAGAATGACATTTAGCAAAAGATTTTTAAGAGAGCACAAGCGAGAATATTGTCTAAAGGGCAAATTTTTCAACCTGACTTTTGATTCGTGTTGAGCTGCCTGACTAAAGGTACGGACTGATGTGAATATTAGTCAGACCAACATGTATTTCAAAGATTCCGTTTTGATAAGACAAACAATTTTTGTTTTTTCTAATGCCATGTAAAAGTGGAAACTATTTTTCTGCCATCAATATAAACAGCATTAAAAAAGTACCCCATAGGGCATAAGTCATCAAACAGAAGTTAGAAAAATCTAGTTATTCTAAACCTCAGAGGCCTTAATCCTCAAATGAATTGTGCGGACAATACTTGTACAATTTAGTTCTGCTCCAGGCCTGGCAAAAGGGGCTCTTACTGGAATCTTCTTTCTTCTGTGACAACTGTGCAAATGTATGTATGACTTAAAAGAGGAGAAAAAGAAATTGGTTCCCGTTGGCACAAAATAGCAAGATTAAACTTTTTTAAAGGAACATGAAAAAGCCTACTTAACAATGAGAGCACAAGATTTTTTTCCTCTGCTTTATTGTTGTCCAGCATGTGTTGTGAAATCCTGGAGACTAAGAAGTGCAGACAAAGCACAGATATGGAGTAGTAATTAACTGCATAGGACCTTTATGATCGCAGTGCTTGTGCTCATATACTAGCTGACAAAAGTCTTTTAAAAAAAAAAAAAAAAAACTGTCATAATGACATGAAACATTGCAGCGCAAACATGAAATCATGTTTCCAAAGACGAAAAACCACAAGATGACCTATAGTATCACATAGAACCTCTTTATTCTAAAGGAAAAGGCAGAGCAGCTGAACTGCAGAAAGAGTCAAGTAAAAAAAGAAAATTCTTCTGAATTATATCCTTTGTTATAAATATACATATATAGATATATTGTTTTCATCTAAAAAAATATATAGATAAAATTATTTTGCTTCACAACTTCCTTCCAATGTTATTCTTTCAAGTACATATCACACTGACCAATTAAAAACTACTGAAATTCTGATCATGTTTTTATTTTTATTTTTATGAAGATGATGAGATATAAAATGACAAAGTGATGGAAAATCGGTTCGTGTTTTTCCACTCTCATCAGTACACCCCACCCAGCCTTTGCCAAGCACAATGAGACATCGGCTACCATTCAATCTGTCTGTAGAAATAACAACGATGTCGCTTTAAAACACCTGAGGAAAAAAAGAAACATCCACATCAGCAGAGAGTAAATATGAATTCATATGTAGTTTTCTTTTTGTCAGACACATTTACCAAAAGCTTAACATATAGACCCTCTCAGAGCAATCCATCGGGTATGTAGACAACATGTTTCAGTAAAGAGGGATTTTCGAATATCATTTTAAAAAAGCCTCATGGCTCAGAGTAATGTCTTCTATTATTACTATTTTATTTGTTAAAAGGAAGGGGACTAAAAATGACCATGCCATTAATAATGAATGAGAGTAGATATATCAGGGTGCAGTGCAGGTCTGCATTATCAAATGGTGCTTTTA